CTCTTATCCTTTGCTATACTGCATGCCTCCCACCACTTCTGTTGATTCCATTTCGACTCTTTTGATAGGATTGTTACGCTGTTCCAGTCGATGGAATATCCTGTCTCATTCACATGGACAGCCAAGGCAGACTTGTCCTCTTTTTGAAGACGAACTGCCGCATGATGTTCTTTCTTTCTTGTACCTAAAGATCTAGAGATAGTGGTAGAATTTTACCAGGAAATTATATTTGCTTGCTAGATGATTGATTCTCGAAAGCTCATATCAAGCTTTACTCTATATGTAGTAGCGTCGAAGTTGGAGTAGAGAAAGCTCACTCAATGTTCAATTCCATATTTGGATTGTGCGGAACAGCGGCAAACAAAAAGGCCGTCGTTTTATAATGAATTCGACATGAACATTTTTGAAGAAGATTGTAAGATTGTTTGATATGTAATTACTGATTTCAAATGCGTCAAATAAGTAAACCTGTCTATTAGTTCTCTTGGCGTTTTTTTCTGATGAATTTTCCACCTTTATAGAAATGATTGACAACATCAAGGGTTCGACGGTTCGACAAAAAACACCAACAATATGTAATTAGAAAAATAATGAATACGACCATAAGATCAACATACTATATCTTCTGTTGTAGAAACAAAGCTTGGAATAATCCTGATTTGATGAAATATTAATCTTTTTTTTTTTTCAACATGTTTGTTTGTTTGTGTGAGTAAATGCGTATTTGTGTGTGTCTCCAATTCAAGTCGTCAGTTGTAAATTACCTATTTGTAGTGAGAAGTGTCCATTATTATTGTAATTATACAGCTTCTCATTAATCCCATATAGGTAACTGTCCAATTATTTTCTTAATTGGACAGGTCTTGTTGATATGGGATTAATTAGGCAGCTATATGATTAATAGGTAATAGGACTCCATGCTCCCCAATCAAGAAATAATTAGACTTGAAAAATTCCTCTGACTGCCAAAATGGACTCGGCCTACGGCCTCATCCAATTTTGTCAGTCCTCGGAATTTTCCTCGTCCAATTATTTCTTAATTGGACAGCATGGAGTCCTATTACATATACTTATTATTATTATGTTATCCTGTGGTATATTTCTTAGTTTACTAGTTTCGTTAGAATAAGTGTATTATTGCATAAATATCATGATATTTGCATTCCGATAGATAATTGACTACTTATACAATATATAAGGCATCCGACACGAGTGAAAAACGTCTGCACATGCTCTGAATCCGTATGCAAATTAGTCAAAACATAAGTATATTTGACTTTCAAACATGCCTGATAAATTGGACTTCACAAAATTCCAAAACTTAGTGTCCATGTTTGAAACTTAAGGTTAATTCTTTCATATTGTGTTTGTTAATACAGTATATTGGTCAGACAAAAGTATACTCACGAACTTTTTTGTATACTTGGAGAAAACAAACATTTATTTTCTCACTCAAACTCTTCAAAATTCTTAGCAATCTTGTACCCAGAGCCTGCGTTTCTTCTGGCCTGCGGCAAAGAACAAGGGCTCTGGCATAATCCATATTTTGGCGCATGCGCAATTTTCGGAAAGTGAGATATAAACGGTCAAAATAAGCAAAGTAAGAATTAAATCGAACTCAAAATCAAAGTAAAAATCATAGAGCAAATTAAAAATCGGGGAAAATTTTTTTTGTAATTTTTGGTAAGTCTTTGAACGCATGCGCTGTTATACCGGAAGTCCAAGGAATCCTGGTCTCAAAAAATGGATTATGCCAGAGCCCTAGTTTTTCGCCGCAGGCCAGAAGAAACGCAGGCTCTGGGTACGAGATCGAATTCTTAGGAAACGTGATGAAGTGCACGCATGTGCAAACGTTTTACTCCATTTCCCGTCCTTGAGGGTGACAAAACAAAATAAAGATGACGGAAAATCTATAAAAGCCATAGTTCGAATAAATATGTTTTATATTGTACAGAGGCAACAGAAAATGTTCCTAAGTTGTTAAGTGCTTGAAAACCCGTCGGTCACGTGACAGTCATTACCATTCACAAATCTGCAAGAAATCTTCGCTCGTCTTCTCATTTGTTGCTGTCTTCAAAATCTCATAGTCTCAAGGCGTATGGTCTACGTTCATTTACGTATGTTACTAAGCGCTTAGAACAGACTTGTATAAGCGCTATATAAGCCACATATTATTATTATTATTATTATTATTATTATTATTGTCATTACAGTTATCAGTTATATCTTTATATTTGTGTATTTGTGTAACGATTTCGCTATTGTCGCTCTTCTTGGGATTATCTAGATATATATTTTTTGATTAAAAACTGTAAGAAAAGCACCTGTTTGAAAATAGTCCGTTAACTGTTGTTTAACTCTCAGTGTTTGCGTTCTCCTAATGACCAACAGGCGGGCGAAATTGAAGTGTTGAAAGGTTTGAAGAGTTTAGAAATTTCAAGTCACAGATTCATGTATTATTCATAAACATTTTTAAACAACCGTTCGTTTCTGCATCGATGAATTTCAGAAATGTCACTTGCTTGTCTCCTTTACTACGGTTTTCGAGCCGTGTTTTTACAAGATGTGCGTTGCAGATTAATTAGTTACAAAAGATCTAGTTTGCAACGTTTTAGGATTTAAAAGGTGAATTCTTACCAATGAAGAGGATTTTTTCCCCCCAATTACGAGCAATAATGGCAAAAAGCGCCAAAAACTAGACTTTCGTATGAGTTTTGATCCCAATTTTCGTTTTGGGTTAACACTCAAAACCTTTTTTAAACAGTTAGAAACTGATGATGATAATCTGTTTTTATTTTTTATTTTTTAATTTTTTTGAAGCGGTATTTTCAATAATACAAAGATGTTTTGTTGCATTTGGGAAATAAGCAAATGAAGGTCTAAACCTCATTTTGGAATATAAGTTTTGTTTGGGTCACTTTGATTCCACTTTAATTTCATCGGTCATCTCCATTTCCAAACAAGTAAAACTTTCTGAATAACAAGATTTTAACCTTGTACAACAGCTTTTCTTCAAGAGAATAGTTTTTGGCGCTCACTGCTTGAATACGAAAATAATTCTCTCTTAATAATGGTTTTAAAAAAAATAGTCAGGGATCGGACACAGCTCTTTGTGAGAAGTGTCATTTCTACAAGCTCAAACAGCATGTGGTACAAAGAGGGTTAAATTAACGACCTGTATGTACCAAATTGGCCGCTTCGCAAGCAAAGGCCACCAGAAACGTAAAAGCTATTTGTGGCGATTGTAGACCAGTTAACTTAGATTTGCGATGATAAACGAAACCATTAACACTCATTTCCATTAAAAAAAACTTTAAATTTGGTTGTTAATATTATATAGGGGACCTAGAGTCCTATTGTATTGTCACCTGTCCTTGGGTGAATCACAAAAGGGATAAATAAATAAACAGATAGTATCTTTATTGCTCTTTACGTTCGTGATACATATAAAAATTGAAGGTTACTTTATAAATAGAGAAAGGTTACTATGTAGACGATAAGCCTGAGAGCTAGATAAACCGTTAGGTTTTCGATAAATATAATCTCAAGAGATAATTGCGGCAGGCCGGTCTTGCCACACTAGCTCTCGCGATTATTTCCCCCTTGACTGTCTTTTCCTTTTCTCTCCTTTTTTTGTTTTTTGTTTTTTTTTCCTTTCCTCAGCAATTTTCTTTTACTTTCTTCCTTTATTTTATTTGTTCTTCCACCTAGCTATTCGAATTGGGAAAGAGCAACCGGAACATCTTTAGGTCAACTCTTTGACCAAAGTCAAAGTTGGGTCAGTAAGGACACTTATATTGAGCTGTTTTTGCTCGCAATTTTCCTTGTGTAACCGATTCCAGTCTACAAAAATGCTTTGCTTAGTCTTGGAGCGTCACACCTAAAAATACATGTTAACATTCCGCGTGTACTAGTGACTTTGTTTTGACGATGCAAATAGTAAAACTTTCCAGCCAGCTATTCTCAGGCGGCCTTAGTCATGCGAATACTATAAACAACCCGGAAGAAGGAACAAACAGCAACAAGAACGAGCTACGAGCAAGACTAAACAGGCTTAAACTAAACTTCGAGTCGAGTTCGATGTCGACTCAGAAAAGTCGACCTTGTTAAAGTGCCTATTACCCTTCTGACAATATTCACATAATTGATTCTAGATGGAGTAAGATGTTGAATAACCCGAAAATAAAAAAACTTTGAAAGCGGCTTCTTGAAGTTATTAAGTATTGCATTCCATATGCTAATGCTGTGACGTATGAGGAATAATCAATAATATACAAAACATTACTGGCACAGATAAATTAAATTTGAAAGACGTCATTGTTCTCCCCATTGCTCTTATAGAAATTATTGCAAGCAATTTTTCTCATAGAAGCCGGCTTTTCGAATTACAAGGAACAATTTACACAAAAATGTTTCGGACCAGGCTTTCGTCATGCTTCTCACTCCATAGCTTTTAAACCAACAGCTTGAGATTTACGGTATCAAAGGCTTTGCTTAAGTGGATAAATATACCATAAGAAGTGGTATTTTCCTCTATAAAGTATAATGGCTTCTAATTATTTCTTCTCGATGAAAATGAATATTTCGTGGTTATATACATCGACACGCCCATTTATGAGAACTGCCATTGCAATACACCCAAACAGCATGTGGTATAATACTGTCTTCATAGAACACCTGTATCTGGTGATGGTGACCAAATTACTCGTGCAGCTCAAAAACGTGTTTAAGAACATGAGATAATCCAAGTAAAGATGCAATTGCCAAAAGATTTTTAGGTTCATATATAACAGGGTTAACTGGTTTAACTGGTTTAACTTCAACAATTGTCGCCAAAGGGAGAGAAATTCAGTGGAGGTAACAGTGAGAAGTAGTTAATTTAGAAATATTATCTTTCTTAGTTTTTAAAAGTACCTTTATCAAGTTTCTTAGTTTTGAAAGATTTTTTATAGCGATCTTAATAGTTAATTTGGGTTGAACTAATGTTATAAGCAAGCAGAATATGAATGTAATGTGAACACGTTAATGAAGCAGTAGGATACTTAAATAGTGAAGTAGGATTTTTTTTAAATTGGAAACTAATTTTAATCTCAACGTCATTTTAAATTTAAAAAACAATTTTAAAAATAGAGACTACTGTCTATTGCACTCTTTTTCATATGTTGCCACTTTCCACTCCTATTCTTCTTATTTCCTTCGAAACACCTACGTATATGGCCCATACTATGTTAACCACTAGTTATTGTAATTGAAGCAATGTTAAATCATGAAAGAAAATCCAGTACAGTGTTGACGATTGTATGAATTGACTTAAGACATTAAATCACATACTAGAGTGAAGTCATTAAACCCGTGAAATAGATATTAGACTAACACACACATTAGTAGACCATAATTCCATTGTTTTCTTTTGTGTCTATTTGACTATTACACGTTGACTAGTATTTTTTATTTCATGGGTTAAATGCCTTCACTCTATTTATATTCAGATATTTATTTGATAAACAATGGAGGTCGCCAGGTTGATGCCAGTTGTTCTTATCTTGTTACTTGCTTACGATGCTGCAGCTGCTCCAAGAAAAGATGGCAATGAAACTCCCAACAAGGTAGGAACTCTTTAACTGCCTATATAAGCGATCCCCTCGAATAAACACGCAATAGCTTAACTGACGTAAACTATTTAACGTAAATGCTCAAATTGGCGCAAAGATTTACATACGCGACCCCTTACCCCAACCCTCCGAATTAGCGCCTCAGTGTAAGTCGTAACTAGGCAGTTGAATAGATAGAGCGCATGTAGCCTGCTTATAGCGGCCTAAGGGATTTATCTTTGTGTAATGAATATTCTGGTTGAGTGCTAGCAACTCTTAGTCACTAAATAGCTACTATTTGTCAGTATGAACTTTGTTTTTATTTCATGGATTTACTGCGTGCGCTCTACAACTTTTGATCAGTTATCAACATCTAAATACTCTTCTTTTTTTAAGGACGAAATGAAAAAGGAAGTACCCTCAAAACATGGAGGACAAAAGAAAGATCATGAAAAGAAAATCCATTCAGGTATGTATGAATAGCCGTAAGCTGCGACTTAATACATAAATTTAGGCGCTGCCTAAATGCGGAGCTCCCAATAGACACAGGGGACCCAATTTAGATAAAACTGAAATATGAAAATAAAATCGGGGGGAAAATCTTTAATTGTTTTTCTTCTTCGAAATGAAGATAATGTCCCTCATAATGAAAAAAACATGAAGTAAAAAAATGAAATCGAAAGCACTTTATCGTTTTCTTCGCATCTTCGAAAATTTTTTTTGACCTCACTAATCTCCCACTTAGGAATTAATTTTGTCACATATACACAACCCACGACCAGCAACCCCAGGAAATTCTTCGACAAAGTTTTCCATGGCCGACATTTTTACATTTTGAATTCCTGGTGAATTTTGTATGAAAAACGAAAGATGAATAGAGGATATTACATAGGCGCGCGGAGATACGAAATTTATCTTCGAGTGTTGAAAAGATCTCTCACAAGTGAGCGCAGCGAACGAGTGAGAGATTTTCAAAACGAGAAGATAAATTTCGTATCTCCAAGCGCCCATGTAATATTCTGTTTATTATATAATTATCAATGGAGTATGTTTTGGCCTTTTCAGGCAATTATTTCCGTGTATTTTTGAATAGTCATCGCAATGGTGTTATCTTCACACGTGAAAATAACATGCTATTTTCACGTGTGAAGATATCAATTTTTCGAAATAGAGAAAAATAGATATTTCATTGGTAATTATATAATAACTACAGATAATCTATTACAATATAAAGTTTAGTGAAATACACCTTGGATGTCTTTAATAAAAATCCAAATTTCGGAGATTTCCGAACTTTTTATGGACAAATAAACACTATGAAATAGACTTGAAAACTGGTTAAAATCGATAAAAACATGCATAAAACTAGATTCCTACCAACAAAGTTCTTAATCTGAATCAGAATCCAAAGGAAGAAGGCGTTTAACGTGGCGTCTTGACTGAGTTAAGTCCAGACCCAGATGATTCTGCTGAATTATTTCCAGCGTTGGCGTTTCAAGTAGCATTTGTAGCTGGTGAAATGGTACACATTTGAGAGGCTATACTTGAATGGTCTTTCCGAGACCAGATACCTGTAATCTTTCTAGTGTTCTCCTTTTCCCTTGAACTTTTGAGTCTTCTTGTGGTTTCTTCGTCTGCCAAATCAAAACATGAAGCCATTTTGGCTTGCAAAAAGACAACTTAAATACCAATCGTAATCTATAATTCAGCTCTGCGAACTACGGAAAAAACCCTCCTTCATGAGCCAATCAGCGTCGAATAATTTTGCCCTGTATGTGATAATATACTAAAACATATTCTCCACAGGCTCATAGATTATGGTGAATATCTACCGATAATCACTTCGCCTTCAGCAAATAATTATGATAATAAACACGTCTGTTTTGTTTCAGATTTTGTGTATGACAAATACCCTACTGTCTGTAATTATAAAAAGCATGACAGGCCCGGATATAGTTATATTTGCGACGCCTGCAAAAACCCTGATCACAGAAGTCACGCCTTCGTAAATGACGCCTGCCGGAAAACCTGCAGCGAATGTCCCTAGGTAACATGCGCTTAGCACAGTTAAACCTTTACACACCGTCCACCATCTCGCAAAATTAAATTTGGTGACCGTTAGAGAAGTGGCCGTTGTGTAGAGATTGCGGTTGTGTAAAAGTGGCCGTTATGTAGAAGTGACCGTTATGCAGAGGTAGCCGTTATGAATAGAGGTGGACGGTATGTATGTCATGTCTTATGAATATTAATCATCATGTAACCTGAGCGCAAGCGCAGTAGTGTGTTAGAGATTGAACCTCGTGTAGCTTTACGCCATGTTGTTGGCTAAATAAATAGGTTGATTTAGAGTTCTAGAGTTGTTTCTTCGAGCTTACGGACACAGCAGTGTAGAAGTGCCCGTTGTGTAGAGGTGCCCGTTATGTAGAAGTAACCGTTGTTTAGAGGTGGGCGTTATGTAGAGGTGGCCGTTTTAAAAGTGGTCGTTGTCAGAGGTGGCCGTTGTGTAGAGGTGGCCGTTTTCGGAAGTGTTTAACTGCATTTCCCCTTCATAGTGTAAATGTTTATTGAAACCTAAGAAAGCCTCTGAGCTATTTGAATTGTATTTACAATTATGCTTACAATACTTTTTTCTTATTTTCTTGGTCAGGTATTCTACTTTTACAAAGTAAAAGATCCCTTTGCTGCTACAAATATTCTAATATTATATGAGAAATGGCGCATTAATTCAAAAAAACGATATCAAATAAAATGTGTCGACACAAGTTGTAGTTTAACATACTCTTCACATGAACAAGAATCTCAATATATCATAAATGGGGAAAAAATGCGGTTTCAATGCCAAATGGCAAATAGATGTGTTAGATTTGATAATCCCACAAGAAATTTCTGAATTTTTCAATCGAAATTAATATAACAAATCAAAGTGTCCATTGGAATCAAATTTTAAACTAGTCTCACCAACGAGGTACAGACCATGCCTTGCTTTTATAAAGAATCCTTTCTTTTTCTCTCTACGCGATATCTTCATTTCTAGTAACTTTCACTGAACCTATTTTGTCGCCATCTTGTTCTTCATTACCCCTGATGTAAGCAGAAAGGATTCCAGACTCAAAATACAATAAATCTTGAGTGCAGTCCACAACATCGTCGAGCTCCTCATTCTCCGTGTATTGACTCTTACTCAAAGAAATTAATGATTCAAATCATGCTTAGAATCATAAACACTGCAAGAATAATAAACAACATTTCGTCGAGTATTTTAATGTTTTCACGAAATAATGGACAAGTTTCTTAAATAAGTTCTTTATGTAGTATTTGAAACACGCGAGAGATTCCAAACACCGAAAAGTGAGTTGAAAAAACGAGGCGCAGCCGAGTTTTTTTAACTGACTTTGAGGTGTTTGGAAATCGGAGGAAGAACTCTCTCAAGTGTTTGAAATTACTTCTCAAATTCATGAATATTTCTTGGAGAAAATCAAAGAAAACGTTTACGAAATTTATCGCAAATTAAGAAGACATTTCCAAACCACCGTCACAGTAGTGATTTGCTTTGTTTTCTCCTCATTACATATTCATGAGTTTGAGAAGATAAAAACAACAAAAATGTACAACGTTAAAAAAATCTTCGTGGTTGTAGCCATATTCTAAGACAGTTAGATAATGAAAGCACGTGTCCTTTGGGATATACAGTTCGGTATGTTGTCTTCAACTTGTAAGGGGCCTTTTTAAAACTCACTGCGCATGGCAGTGTATACAAACCTCGCAGCGTATATAACGCATGACATTGATGTACATACAAACTTCTATCGAAGTATAAACGACAGTTCTAAAACCACTCGCCTAAGCCTCGTGGTTTTAAACCTGATAATACGCTCCTGCTCGTTTATTAAGGAGGCTGGAAAGTGTTTTGTGCCTTCACACAAGGAAGGATCCAGCCAAAATGTAAGGGGGGGCTAATTGAGTTTAGGGGGGCGGGGCTAATTGAGTTTCTTCCGTCAATACAACGGAAAACAATGTAAAAAAGCATGTTTTTTTTTTGCTGAAGGGGGGTCTTCAGCCCCCCTTTGCCCCCCCCTGGATCCGCCCTTGTCACATACACTCACAGTTATGAACTAAATAAAATTAATATGGCTATAATATGACTGCAAGTAAGCCAGGAAAGCCAAAGACTATAAACCAAAGATCACAATGAACATGAAAAAAATGACGTAAGATGTTGATATGGCATCAGAACCCTTGGTATGATCAAAAACTGTTTATCTAAAAAATCATAACTCAAGAACCAAATGGTGATTTTTTTTAAAAACCGAAAAATTTTAAAGTTTGTATCGTAATCTCTTTTTTGACATAAAAAGAAAAAATCTGTAAAAGGGAGTTTGTAAAAATCAATAAAGTTTGTTTGGAATAGCTCACTCTTACATAATTTTTTAAAATTTTCCTCAAGTTTTTGAAAGCATAAACTAAATCCCTATACGAAATTTGAAGAAATTTCACCTCAGAATTTTTGATTTTTTTCAGTTTGAACATTAGAATTTATGAGTACAAAATTTTTCCTTATGCAAGTTATAAACGTCATCGGACCGTTTCGATTCTCCTTAAGCACCACTTAGAGCGTCACACCTAAAAAAACCTGTTACTGTTGCGCGTGTACTAATTCCATGGCTATTTGGCGATGAATTAAATAGCAAATCAGCTAGCTATTCTAAGGTGATACTCAGATATATTGATGCAGTAATACTTTTATTGCAACGCAACTAGTAAACCCAGATATTTAGGTGTGAGTCAAACCAGCTAAATTATCTGTGAAACTCATTTTATATATAATAAAAAAGAGAAGTTCGTTGTGATCGTCTGGGTGAGCTTAGTCTTGGGAAAGACTGCTGTTACTGGTGACTGACGTTTCGAAGTCATTTTCATAGAGTCCAGTGACAAACCACCAACAACCGTCTTTCTCTAGACTACGCTCACCTGGACCATTACACTTCACAACAAACTGTCAGTCACCACCAACAACAGTCTTTCTCTAGACTACACTCACCTGGACCATTACACTTCACAACAAACTGTCAGTCACCACCAACAACAGTCTTTTTCTAGACTACACTCACCCGGACCATTACACTTCACAACAAACTGTCAGTCACCACCAACAACAGTCTTTCTCTCGACTACACTCACCCGGACCAATACACTTCACAACAAACTGCCAGTCACCACCAACAACAGTCTTTTTCTATGCTACACTCACCCGGACCATTACACTTAACAACAAACTGTCAGTCACCACCAACAACAGTCTTTCTCTCGACTACACTCACCCGGACCATTACACTTAACAACAAACTGTCAGTCACCACCAACAACAGTCTTTCTCAAGACTATACTCACCCGGACGATCACATTTCACAACAAACTTTAACACCTTGGTTCAAACCATTTACTCTTAAAAATAGAAGTGGTGCTAGTAATGATCTCTGGGAAATACCACAGGGTAATGAAAGATATTCAGATTTAGTGCATCCAAGTGAGACATATCGTTTTCCATTACATGAGAGTATGATTCCAACCAGGCTTTTGCCATATGCCTCTCACTCCATACCCCTTGAACCAACAGCTTGTGATTTACGGTACTAAGACTTTGCTTAAGTGGATAAATATACCACAAGAAATAGTATTTTCCTCTATGGAGCACAGAATTCTGTCAACATTTGAAAAAAATGCATGGCTTAGTAGATTGGTTCTTTTCGAGGAAAGTGAATATTTCGTAGCTATATTCATCGAAGACATGCCTATTTATGAGAACTGCCTCTTGAATAGACCCAAAGAGCATGTGGTGTAATATTTTCGTCATAAAACACCTGTATCTAATATCTGCTAATAGTGACCAAATTCCTCATGTAGTAATCAAATAATACTTTTCTAGACTACATTTCAGCCAAACAAGTTGTGCTTTAATTGATATATGAAAGATCTGAATGCTGCATGTGTATTATTTGGTTTTAAACGCCTTTGACAAAATGCAAGATATTTTCTTTTCTCGGTTATTTGTATTCAAAATCGATTATTCATTTTCAATAAAAATATATATTTCGTAGTTATATTTATCGACAGTACAATCAATGAGCATGTGGCATAATATTGTCTTCATACAGAACACCTGTATCGAATATCTGGTGATGGGTGACCAAATTACTCACGCAGCTCAAAAAAGTGTTTCAAACCATGACATAATCCAGGTAAAGATGCAATTGCCAAAAGATTTAGGGTTTAATTACTCATGTAGCAGTCAATATAACTTATTTATCTAGACTACATTTCAGCCAAACAAGTTGTGCTTTAATTGATATATGAAAGATCTGAATGCTGCATGTGTATTATTTGGTGTTAAACGCTTTCACAAAATAAAAATAAATAAATAAATGTTTTTGTCGGTTATTTTTATTTGAAATCGATAATTTGTTTTCAATAAAAATGAATATATTGTATTTATATTCATCGACACGCCCTTTTTTGAGAACTGCCATTTTAGTACAATCAATGAGCATGTGGTAGAATATTTTCTTTTTAGAACACCTGTACCAATATTTATACCTGGCGACCAAAATTCCCATGTACCAGTCAAATATTACAACTTATCTAGACGGCACTTCTGCCAACTATTCATTAGCTATAGAAATAAATCACTTTATTTAAGTGTCTAGTCGTTCTAGTGCTTTCGCACTAATTGGGGACACTTTTCGCTCACGCACACGACTACATTCAATATTCTATGCATACAACGCTCAACTCGCATGTTGATTTTTACGGAGGGAGGAAACCGGAAAGCCGGGAGAAAACCCTCGTAGCATAGGAGAGAACAACATCAAACAAACTCAATAAGCCTGAAGCGAAATGACGTTTTACCCCCGTCTCTAGACCATAATCCTTTTCACATTGCTTTGGTTCTATAATTATGACTATTGTTCCTGTATTCTCTAAGGAATCAAAAATTTTAATATGAAAGAATTTAAAAAACTATTAGGGTATAGAGTCAGGGGTAAAACTTCATCTCGCTTCAGGATTATTCACATGTGGCGACCGCAAGCCGAACCAACGAACCAACCCGTTGGACTCGCAGCGGTGAAAAACGACCCGTTTCATGCTAACCATGAAATATGAAATATCTGAATGCTGTATGCTGAAGAGCTAATTTGGCCTCAAATGCTCTTAACCAAATAAAAAGAACACCATCTTGTTTCAGTTATTTATATTTGAAATACGATTTTCAAGTTTAATCTTAAATAAAAAATGAATATTTCGTAGCTATATTCATCGAAGACACGCCCATTTATAAGACCTGCCATTTCAATATACACCCAAAGAGCATGTGGTATAATACTGTCTTCATAGAGCACCTGTATCGAATGTCTAGTGATGGTGACCAAATTACTCGTGCAGCTCAAAAACGTGTTTAAGAACATGAGATGATCCAAGTAAAGATGCAATTGCTAAAATATTTAGGGTTCATGGATAACAGGGTCAATAGGCCAAAACGATTTCAGTTGCTAGCACTAGTTTAACTACATCAATTGTCGCCAAAGAGAGAGTACTTCAGTAGAGGTAACAGTGAGAAGTAGTTAATTTAGAAGGGCTATCTTTCTTAGTTTTGAAAGACTTTTGAAAGATGGTTAATTTGGGTTGAACTAATGTTATAAGCAGGCAGAATATGAATGTAATGTGAACACGTTAATGAAGCAGTAGGATACTTAAATAGTGAAGTAGGATTTTTTTTAAATTGGAAACTAATTTTAATCTCAACGTCATTTTAAATTTAAAAAACAATTTTAAAAATAGAGACTACTGTCTATTGCACTCTTTTTCATATGTTGCCACTTTCCACTCCTATTCTTCTTATTTCCTTCGAAACACCTACGTATATGGCCCATACTATGTTAACCACTAGTTATTGTAATTGAAGCAATGTTAAATCATGAAAGAAAATCCAGTACAGTGTTGACGATTGTATGAATTGACTTAAGACATTAAATCACATACTAGAGTGAAGTCATTAAACCCGTGCAATAGATATTAGACTAACACACACATTAGTAGACCCTAATTCCATTGTTTTCTTTTATGTCTATTTGACTATTACACGTTGAC